GTGTATACCTAATTTGTTAATAACACACCGGAAAATTTACTAAATCACAAAATCAATAGGAAAAATCGGCTCGCAAATTTTTCAATTTTGTCTAAGCAGAATAGTCAAGCAATAAACCGTTGAAAAAACATAAGTTTAGTCATGAAGAAACTCGGTTGGCCAATGTTATACGTTTTTCTAATAAAGCCATTCAAGCAATGGAGTTTTGAAAAACCTTTCTTTTTACTGGCCGAGTTTTTCCTAAAAAAATTATCGGTTTTCAAAGGAAGCAATATAAAATTACGTTCCCTAATTTTTCGTTTCGCATCGTTTGATAGTTTCAAAGCTCTAACAGGTGGCTAAGAAAAACTGAATTTTTTTCGAAAAGATTTGGTCTATAAAAAGATTTGCAGTAGTCTTGTTCTAAGACTAGTGAGCTTATTTCATCAATACATTTCATATACCCAACTTCAAGTCTGGTTTTGATTGAACAATGGCTTGATTTGATAAGTTTTTTTGTTCTGAGCTAAAAATTATTCTATCTGAAGCGGATCATCTTTGCTTTAAAATTTTATTGGTTCGGTTCAATTAACAAACGAATGAACTCTGGGCGGACAAGGTGGCCGAGTGGTTAAGGCGTTGGACTGCTCATGCAATGCAGCCTGCGTGCGTGGGTTTGAATCTCATCTCTGTCGATTAGTTTTTAAAAACACCTGAACTGAATTCGGTAAGCACAACAATTGATGATTACCTAATTTGTTAATATTTCATCGGGAAATTTACTAGATTACAAAATTCTGGAGATAAAATTGGCTCGCAAACTTTTCAAACTCGTCTTGGTAGAATATTCAAGCAATTAAACGTTGAAAAAATTTAAGTTTTTTCACAAAAAAATCTGTCGGCCAATGTTATACGTTTTTCTATTGAAACCATTCGAGTAATGGAATTTGAAAACTTCAAGTTTCTTTTTTGGCCCAATTTTTTCACAAAAATATCAACGTTTTTAAGTAGAAGCAGACCAAAATTATAAAACCTTGAACTTTCGTTTCGCTTCCTCTGATAGTTTGAAAGCTGTAACAGGTTGCTTTGAAAAACTTGAAATTTCAGCAAAACGATTTGGTATGAAAAACTATTTGAGCTAGTCTTGTTCTAGAACTAGAGTGCTAAATTTGTCATTACCTTTCAAATACACAGACGTCAAATTGATTTTTGATCGAATAAGGGCTTGATTTAATAAATTTTTCGTTTTGAGCAAAAAACAATTTTATATTTGAAGCGAAGCATCTTTGCTTCAATTTTTCATTGTTTCGATTCAATTTACAATCGAATGTCCTCTGATCAAAAAGGGTGGCCGAGTGGTTAAGGGGTTTGTCTGCTAATCCAAAACGTTCTGCTTGCATGGGTTTGAATCACATCTCTGTCGATTAGTTTTTAAAAACACCTGAACACCTGAACTGAACTCGGTAAGCACAACAATTGAGGTTTACCTAATTTGTTAAAAACTCACAAGAAAATTTACTAAATCACAAAATTCTGGAGATAAAATTGGCTCGCAAACATTCAAATTCGTCTAAGCAGACTAGTCAAGCAATTGAACAATGACCAATTTTAAATTTTTTCATAACGAAAACGGTCGGCCAAGGTTATACGTTTTTCTATTGAAACCATTCAAGTGATGGAATTTTGAAAAAAAAAAACAAGTTAAATTTTTGGCCCAGTTTTTTCACAAAACAAAAATCATCGTTTTCAAAAAAAAACAGATCAAAATTAAAATTTTACTAAATTTTTGTTTCGCTTCCACTGATAGTTTGGAAGCTGTAACGGGTTGCTTTGAAAAACTTGAAATTTCAGCGGAACGAGTTGGTATGAAAAACTATTTGAACTAGTCTTGTTCTAGGACTAGAGTGCTAAATTCGTCATTACATTTCAAATACCAGGACGTCAAGTCTATCTTTGATCGAACAATGGTTTGATTTGATAGGTTTTTTTGTTTTGAGCAAAAAAAAATATTCAATTTGAAGCGGAGCATCTTTGCTTCAAATATATATTGGTTCGATTCAATTAACAAACAAATGATTTCTGGTCAGACCGGGTGGCCGAGTGATTAAGGCGTTGGACTGCTCATCCAATACAATCTGCGTGCGTGGGTTTGCATCCCATCTCTGTCGATTAGTTTTTAAAAACACCTGAACTGAATTCGGTAAGCACAACAATTGATGTTTACCTAATTTGTTAATAACTCACCGGGAAATTTACTAAATCACAAAATTCTACAGACAAAATTGGCTCGCAATCTTTTCAAATCCGTCTAAGCAGAATAGTCAAGCAATTAAATGTTGGAAAAATCTAAGTTTATTCATGAAGAAAATCGGTTGGCCAGTGTTATACGTTTTTCTAATAAAACCATTCAAGCAATGGAAATTTGAAAAACTTCAGGTTTTTTTGGCCGAGTTTTTCAACAAAAAAGTTATAGTTTTTCAATGGAAGCAATTCAAAATTAAGTTTTCCTTAAATTTTTGTTTCGCTTCCTTTGATAGTTTGAAAGCTGTAACAGGTTGCTTTTAAAAAATTGAAACTTCAGCGAAACAATTTGGGCTAGAAAAAAAAATGTGAACTAGTTAAGTTCTAGGACTAGAAGGCTAAGTTCGTCATTACAGTTCAAATACATCGACGTCAAGTCTTTTTTTGATCAAACAAGGGCTTTTTTGATTGGTTTTTTGTTTTGAGCAAAAAAAAAATATTCTAATTGAAGCGCAGCATCTGTGCTTCATTTTTTCATTGTTATACTGGTCAGACAAGGTGACCGAGTGGTTAAGGCGATGGACTGCTCATCCAATACAGTCTGCGTGCGTGGGTTTCAATCCCAGCTCTGTCGATTAGTTTTTAAAAACACCTGAACTGAATTCGGTAAGCGCAACAATTGATGTTTACCTAATTTGTTAATAACTCACCGGGAAGTTTACTAAATTACAAAGTTCTGAGATATAATTGGCTCGCAAATTTTTCAAATTTGTCTAAGCAGAAAAGTGAAGCAATTAAACGTTGAAAAAGTTTAGGTTTTTCAGAAAAAAATCGGTCGGCCAATGTTATACGTTTTTCTATTGAAACCATTCAAGTATTGGAATTTTGAAAAATTTCAAGTTACTTTTTGGCCCAATGTTTTCACAAAAAATTATCGGTTTTAAATGGAAGCAGATCAAAATTAAAAATCCTTACTTTTTTGTTTCGCTTCCTCTGATAGTTTGAAAGCTGTAACAGGTTGCTTTGAAAAACTGAAATTTCAGCGAAACGATTTGGTCTGAAAAACTATTTGAACTAGTCTTGTTCTAGGTCTAGAGTGCTTAATTTGTCATTACATTTCAAATACACAGACCTCAAGTCTATCTTTGATCGAACAATGGTTTGATTTGACGGTTTTTTTTTGTTTTGAGCAAAAAAACATCCCATTTGAAGCGGAGCATCTTTGCTTTAAAACTTTATTGGTTCGATTCAATAACAAACTAATGAACTTTGGTCAGACAGTGTGGCCGAGTGGTTAAGGCGTTGGACTGTTCATCCAATACAGTCTGTGTGCGTGGGTTTGAATCCCATCTCTGTCGATTAGTTTTTAAAAACACCTGAACTGATTTCGGTAAGCACAACAATTGATGTTTACATAATTTGTTAATAACTCACCGGGAAATTTACTAAATCACAAAATTCTGGAGATAAAATTGGCTCGCAAACTTTTCAAATTTGTCTAAGCAGAATAGTCAAGCAATTAAACGTTGAAAAAATTCAAGTTTATTCATGAAGAAAGTCGGTTGGCTAATGTTATACGTTTTTGTATTAAAGCCATTCAAGCAATGGAATTTTGATAAACTTCAGTTTTTCAATGGAAGCAAATCAAAATCAAATTTTCCTTAAATTTTCATTTCGCTTCTTCTGATAGTTTGAATGCTGTAACAGGTTGCTTTGAAAAACTTGAAACTTCAGCCAAACGATTTGGTCTGAAAAACGATTTGAAGTAGTCTTGATGTAGGACTAGAGTGCTAAGTTTGTCATTACATTTCAAATACACAGAAGTCAAGCCTATCTTTGATCGAACAATGGTTTGATTTGATAAGTTTTCTTTGTTTTGAGCAAAAAAAATATTCTATTAGAAGCGAAGCATCTTGCTTCAGTTTTTCATTGTTTTGATTCAATTTACCATTGACTGACCTCTGGTCAGACAGGGTGGCCGAGTGGTTAAGGGGTTTGGCAGCTAAGTCAAAACGTTCTGCTTGCATGGGTTCGAAGCACATCTATGTCGATTAATTTTTAAAAACACCTGAACACCTGAACTGAATTCGGTAAGCACAACAATTGAGATTTACCTAATTTGTTAAAAACGCACAATTAAACTTACTAAATCACAAAGTTCTGGAGTAAAAATTGGCTCGCAAACATTTCAAATTCGTCTAAGCAGACTAGTCAAGCAATTAAACACTGACCAATTTTGAATTTTTCATAACGAAAATCGGTCGGCCAAATTAGTTATATCATGTTATAAGTTTCTCCATTGAAACCATTCAAGTGATGGAATTTTGAAAAAAAATCTAGTTAATTTTTTGGCCCAGTTTTTTCACAAAAACATCATCGTTTTCAAAAGGAAGCAGATCAAAATTATAACTTCTTTAAATTTTTGTTTCGCTTCCACTAATAGTTTGAAAGCTGTAACAGGTTGCTTTGAAAAACTTGAGAATTCAGCGAAACGATTTGGTTGGAAAAACTATTTGAACTAGTCTTGTTCTAGGACCAGAGTGCTAAATTTGTCATTGCATTTCAAATACCATGACGTCAAGTCTATCTTTGATCGAACAATGGCTTGATTTGATAGGTTTTTTTGTTTTGAGCAAAAAAATATATTCTTTTTGAACGGAGCATGCTTACTTTAAAATTTTATTGGTTTGATTCAATTAACAAACAAATGAACTCTTGTCAGACAAGGTGGCCGAGTGGTTAAGGCGTTGAACTGCTCAAGTAAAACACTGGGACTGCTCTGCGTGCGTGGGTTTGAAACCCATCTCTGTCGATAAGTTTTTGGAAATACCTGAACTGAATTCGGTAAGCACAACAATTGATGTTTGAATGGTTGCTTTTAAAAAATTGAAATTCTACCGAAACAGTTTGTGCTAGAAAAAAATTGTGAACTAGTCCTGTTCTAGGACTGGAAAGCTAAGTTCGTCATTACAGTTCAAATACATAGACGTCTAGTCTATTTTTGATTAAACCAGGGCTTTGTTTGATAGGTTTTTTGTTTTGAGCAAAAAAAAATATTCAATTTGAAGCGAACCATCTGTGCTTCAATTTTTTATTGTTTCACTGGTACGACAGGGTGGTCGAGTTGTTACGACGTTGGACTGCTCATCCAATACAATCTGCGTGCGTGGGTTTGCATCCCATCTCTGTCGATTAGTTTTTAAAAACACCTGAACTGAATTCGGTAAGCACAACAATTGATGTTTACCTAATTTGTTAATAACTCACCGGGAAATTTACTAAATCACAAAATTCTACAGACAAAATTGGCTCGCATTCTTTTCAAATCCGTCTAAGCAGAATAGTCAAGCAATTAAACGTTGTAAAAATTTAAGTTTATTCATGAAGAAATTCGGCTGGCCAATGTTATACGTTTTTCTAATAAAGCCATTCAAGCAAAGGAATTTTGAAAAACTTCAGGTTTTTTTTTGCCCGAGTTCTTCTTCAAAAAAAGTATCGTTTTTCAATGGAAACAAATCAAAATTAAGTTTTTCTTAAATTTTTGTTTCGCTTCCTTTGATAGTTTGAAAGCTGTAACAGGTTGCTTTTAAAAACTTTAAATTTCAGCGAAACAATTTGGGCTAGAAAAAATTTTTGATCTAGTCATGTTCTAGGACTAGAAAGCTAAGTTCGTCATAACAGATCAAATACATAGACTTCAATTCTATTTTTGATCGAACAAGGGCTTGATTTATTAGGTTTTTTATTTTGATCAAAAAAAAATATTCTTTGCTTCAGCTTTTTTCTTGTTTCTCTGGTCAGACAGGGTGGCCGAGTGGTTAAGGTGTTCGACTGCTGTTGCAATACAGTCTGCGTGCGTGGGTTTGAATCCCATCTCTGTCGATTAGTTTTTAGAAACACCGAACTGAATTCGGTAAGCACAACAATTGATGTTTACTTAATTTTCTGATAACTCACCGTGAAATTTACTAAATCACAAAATCAAGAGATAAAATTGGCTCACAAACGTTTCAAATTCGTCTAAGCAGAATAGTCAAGCAAAAAACGTTGAAAATTGAAGTTTGTTCATGAAGATTTTCGGTTGGCCAATGTTATACGTTTTTCTATTGAAACCATTCAAGCAATGGAATTTTGAAAAACTCAGGTTTTATTGGCCGAAATTTTCAACAAAAAACTTAACGTTTTTCAATGGAAGCAATTCAAAATAAAGTTTTCCGTAAATTTTTGTTTCACTTCTTTTGATAGTTTGAAAGCTGTAACAGGTTGCTTTTCAAAACTTGAAATTTCAGCGAAACAATTTGGGCTAAAAAACAATTTGAACTAGTCCTGTTCTAGGACTAGAAAACTAAAATTGTCAAAACATTTCAAATACATAGACTTTAAGTCTATTTTTGATCAAAAATTGGCTTGATTTGAGGGGTTTTTTGTTTTGAGCAAAAATAAATTCCTATTTGAAATGGAGCATCTTTGCTTCATTTTTTTTGCTTCGATTCAATTTACCATCGAATGAACTCTGGTTATGCAGGTTTACCGAGAGGTTAAAGCGGTTGACTGCTGACCCCATACGTTTTGCTTGCGTGGATTCGAATCCCATCTCTGTCGATTAATTTTCAAATTTTATACGTTTTTCAGTTTTTTCATTTCGCTTCTTCTGATAGTTTGAAAGCTGTAACAGGTTGCTTTGAAAAACTTGAAACTTCAGCCAAACGATTTGTCTGAAAAACGATTTGAAGTAGTCTTGATGTAGGACTAGAGTGCTAAGTTTGTCATTATATTTCAAATACACAAGAGTCAAGTCTATCTTTGATCGAACAGAGGTTTGATTTGATAGGTTTTCTTTGTTTCGAGCAAAAAAATATTCTATTTGAAGCGGAGCATGTTTGCTTCAAAGTTTTATAGGTTCGATTCAATTAACAACCGAATGACCTCAGGTTAGACAGGGTGGCCGAGTGATTAAGGCGTTGGACTGCTCATCCAATACAGTCCGCGTGCTTGGTTTTGAATCCCATCTCTGTCGATGATTAGTTTTTAAAAACACCTGAACTGAATTCGATGAGCATAATTGATATTTATCTAAATTGTTATTAACTCATCGGGAAATTTACTAAATCATAAATTTCTAGAGATAAAATTGGCTCGCAAACTTTTCAAATTTGTCTGAGCAGAATAGTCAAGCAATTAAAAATGACAAATTTTAAGTTTTTTCATAAAGAAAATCGGTTGGCCAATGTTATACGTTTCTCTATTTAAGCCATTCAAGTAATGAATTTTTGAAAAATTTCAAGTTAATTTTTTGACCCAGTTTTTTTTCCCACAAAAAAGCATCGTTTGTAAATGGAAGCAGATCAAAATTAAAATGTCCTTAATTTTTTGTTTCGCTTCCTCTTATAGTTTCAAAGCTGTAACAGGTTGCTTTGAAAAACTTGAAATTTCAGCGAAACGCATTGGTCTGAAAACACGACTTCAACTAGTCTCGTTCTAGGACTAGAGTGCTCAATTCGTCATTACATTTCAAATACACAGATGCCAAGTCTATCTTTGATCGAACAATGGTTTGATTTGATAGGTTTTTTTTTGTTTTGAGCTAAAAATAATATTCTACTTGAAGCGGAGCATCCTTGCTTCAAATTTTTTTGGTTCAATTCAATAAACAAACGAATGCCCGCTGTTCAGACAGGGTGGCCGAGTTGTTTGTTAAGGTGCTGGACTGCTCTTTCAACATAGTTTGCGTGCGTGGGTTTGAATCTCATCTCTGTCGATTCATTTGTTAATAACTCACCGGGAAACTTACAAAATCACAAAATTCTAGAGATAAAATTGGCTCGCAAATTTTTCAATCACGTCTAATCAGAATAGTCAAGCAATATAACGTTGAAAAAGTTTAAGCTCATTCATGAAGAAAATCGGTTGGTCAATGTTATACGTTTTTCTAACAAAGCCTTTCAAGCAATGGAATTTTGAAAAATTTCAGTTTTTTTTGGCCGAGTTTTTCCACAAAAAACGTATCGTTTTTCAATGGAAGCAATTCAAAACTAAGTTTTCCGTAAGCTTTTGTTTCGCCTCCTTTGATAGTTTGAAAGCTGTAACAAGTTGCTTTGAAAAACTTGAAATTTCAGCGAAATGATTTGGTCTGAAAAAAAGTTTGAACTTACCTTGAATACCATCTCTGTCGTTTAGTTTTTAAAAACACCTGAACTGAATTCGGTAATCACAACAATTGATGTTTACCTAACTCGTTAATAATTCACCGGAAAATTTACAAAATCACAAAAGTCTAGAGATAAAATTGGCTCGCAAACTTTTCAAAGTTGTCTGAGCAGAATAGTCAAGCAATTAAAAATGACAAATTTTAAGTTTT